TTGAGTGATGGTGGATTGTATGAGATAGGGTTGGATGTGGAGTTGTGGGTTGTGTGACTTACCTTTGATACAATCAGCACGGTAGTCAATGTACAGATCCTTCTCTCCATTGTCTAGATGTTTTTTGAGTTCTGTGCAGAGTTCACGGGAGCGGATTCTTTGCAGTATGGATAAGTCTGGTCATGAGTGAAGTTTGTTATGGATGTGATTGGTTTTAACAATGGCATTTATTGTATGAATAAATATCTGTTTGCTGGACTCATTTTTGCAAACAACTTTACAGAATCTTGGAGCCGCCGAGCCATCATTGTATTTGAACTCAAGACCATCTCTGGTTATTTCAATGATATCTTCAGGAGAGATGTTTGTTGTATTGGAGTTGCTTATGATATTGTGAACTTTGGTGATATCATGAGATTTGTTGGTGTCTTCAAGACCAAATAAGACAGCATTTGGATGTTTCTGATCACATTCCATTATGTCTCTGATGAGTAAGGGGATATCATTTGTGGCATTATTTGATGGGATAGTGATTATTTGTGGCTGTAGTTTATGGTTATTTTTGTTTGTAGTTGTGATTGTAGTTGAGGTAGTAATTGTGGTAATGGTTGTTGAGTTGGGATTTGATTTTGAGCTGTAAGGTATTCGCTTATCTGAGCTGTATTTTTTTTTTCAAGAGAGATTAGGCTTGCTTGTATAGTTGTTTCAAAATATGTTGCTAAGCGTTCTTCTATTGAATGAATGAATGATTCAGAGCTTTCACTCTGTCAGACAGAGTACTTAGTTTGTTTAGCTTAGGTAAACATGATGGACATAGACAAGGAAATGTATCTGATGTTTGTAGATCAGCTAGGTTTTTGGTTAAATTTAAGCAGGTAAGGTGGGCTTGATTGTCACATAGGTGGCATTTAATGTTATTTTTGCTTTCATTGATGGTTTCAAGACATTTGAAGCATGTGCAGGAGTCTGGGAGGTCTTTGGTAGAGATATTATTTTTTTGTTAGTGTTTGGTAGTGGAGGGTTTGGAATTTTTGACTGGCATGGTCAATGACAATAGTACACTAAACAATTACAATAGCTAATTAATGTGATAGGTAATTATTTAATGAATGTTAGTAATTAATAAATGTTAATTGATAAGTTAAAGAACAAATCAAAAGTAAGCTTACTTATTACCAAAAAGTAAAACAATCAATCAACTAGATAATCAATTATACAGTATTAAATCACTATCAATCAATAAATCAGTAAATTATTGGTCATTTAACAATTAATTATTATACTATTAAATAATAAATCAATTATTTTAGACAAAGCATTATCAATAATTGGTCTTGAGCTAATGAAATAGTGGAGGTAGTGAAGTATTGGAGGTTGGTAGTGAAAAGTTCCTTTGTTTTTCTTTAAAGCCACGCTGTTTGTTTTTTGTTTTGTTTTGTTTTTAAAGAGGAAGTGTTGCTTCAGGGAGCTTTGTTAGTGTTCTGTGGAAGACTCTTTTATCAGTTACGTATTATTAGATCATGGAGATCTTCCAATCAGCTGCTTGATAGATTTGAATGAAGAAGATTTGAATGAACTCTCCAATCATCTACTTGGGAGTTTGGAATGGATGAGATTTGGGTGGGTTTAAGTGGAGGCTGTCCAATCAGCTGATTGGGATTTTAATGGAGGCTGACCAGTTGGGTGATTTAAATGGAGCCTGTTTAAGAGATTATTCTTCTCAGATAGGATCTATCGATTCTCCGTGACTCTCCTTAGTTCTCTGCAATTCTCGGCCATTCAGAATCACACTCTCCTGCTCTCGTCCAGTCCCGGCTGTTTTTTGGATGTTTAGGATCACCTTCTCTGTCAGTTTCATCTCTTTTACTGCGTTCAGAATCACGCTCTCCACCAGTCACAGCTCATTCCATGCCACTCATTCCATGCCACTCAGAATGGCTCACTCTCAGAATCACTTTCTCTGTGTCAGAATCACACTCTCATCTAATCCCAGCTCGTCCTGGTTCTTTGCACTATCTGCTCTCCACTCTCCACTCTCTGCATGCTCTTTGCACTATCCACACTATTTGCTATCTGCCAGTCCCAGTTCTTTACAATTCTCACCCGTTCAGAATGGCGTCCTACGGAATGGAGTCTTGGACTCTTCGCAAGAACCAAAAATAATAATAAATGAACTGGTTTCTTCATTAAAAACTATTATTAGAGAGCAACTTGCCAGTTAGGAGAATTGAAAAAGAAGAAGTAAGGAAAAACACATACAAAAATAGGTGGAAAAAAGTTACCACGAGTTTTCTCAATTTTCCCATTCTATTTATCCAAGAACCAAGGAGCACCTGCTAATTATCAAAAACCAGCAGAGTCAGCTAAGCAACCTCAATTAGAAACTGCACTTAAAATATTTTAGGTGTGGCATTTGATCAAGTAGAAGACATAGAACACTAACAGGAAGTGGTTGCTCGTAATATTTTAAGAGCTTTTTAAAAATTTAATTATTTAATTATATCTGCGCTGCTAATTTTTGGAAATGAATTATGCTGCCAAAATGCAATGTCATATTTCCTCTCTGGAAAAGCATAAAAATGAACCTTCTACAGTACCTAGACCAGTATTTTTTAAACTCAGCAGCTTTAAGATGCATGGACTACCTGCACAACATTTTCCAAGGGAATTCTAGCAGTTGAAGTACAGACTTTTTAAAGTCTGTTAAACTCAAGGCCCACAGGCTGGCTCTTACCCTGGGGGTGCTTAGATCTGGCTCATGGGGTTGCCCTGGACATCGAAAAGGACTGGCCCACACCACTTCTGCCAGCAAAAATGAAGTTCAGGGGGGCTCCCTGGGCTCCATTTTGCATGGCCCTCTCCCTGAGCTGCAGGAGACAATGTGCCAAAAACAGGACCCGGGGGATGGGCATGCCCCCCCCAGCTCTATTTTCACTGGCAGAGGACTAGTAAAATAAACTAAAGCACTTGGCTACCACAGGTGCCCTGGCACTAGTGACATTGAGCTGTCCATGCCCATCCTATCCATGTCTACCCCAGCCATGGACACCTCGACCCCCGATGTGGCCCTCAAAAAATTAAGTTTGACACCCCTGGTTTAGAACTTCAGTAAAGGAAACAAAGGTTCAGTAAGCAGAAATATTTCCAATAAAGCTTTTTGAGACTTTTCAAATCTTACCAGTACTTCACGTCAGACTAGATATTGCTTGCCAGAACCTTTTTAATATCCTAGTTTTGATTTAATGTCTGTGTACATATATGCTGGTTCTTTTTGCAACCTTTTATGCATATTTTCCTGCTCAAAAGTACTATGCTAGAAAAGTTGTAAGAAAAGTTAATTACCTCTTCTGATGTAAACAGAACCAACTGAGGTATCCCAGAAAGGCCTTTTTCTTTTATGTCAGGAAAATATTTATATCTTGCCAAGTTCATTGCATACATATTGGAAACAGAGCCACCTTAAAAAACAATTACATATATTAATAAATATTTCAGATTCTCAGCTGTAAAATTTACAAGTATCCAGCTATAAATGTTGTATGGCTATAAGTGCTTCTTGCACATTGAGAAAATCATATGACTACAAGCAGAATATTTACGTCTCAGACAGCATAACACTGTAAGAACTAGAATGAGTTTTGTAATACAATAATTTCTTGACTTCATTCATTCAGCAACTGTTAAAAGTTACACTGGTGCTGAAAAAATGATGTATGACTAGCTCCTGTAGTTCTAGCCCTGTCAGCAACCCATGGTCATATGATCACTATCCAGGTGCTTGGATAGTAGCTCATCATTATGCCATTGCATGGAGCCAAAGTCACACGATCTATTTATGACTTTTCCTGTTGGCTCCCCACAAGCAAAGGCAATGGGGGGAAGTTAGCAGGAAAGTCAAAATTCATTCCAGTAAGTAGCTCCCACCCACAGCACATCACTGCCCATGCAGTGCCTCTGCCAGGCCTCCTAGAACTTTCCCTAGTCAACTACCGCCAATAGAACCTCCCATCCCCACCCCCACCCCCTTTTGAGCAACTCCTTATTGTTTACCTGGCTCTTCTATCCCTTTCTGCATTATGGCAACTGAGACAGCTGGGATTACCATCACTAAGTGCAAGTGATGTTGCATTTTACAACAGCACTGCTTATCAATGGCAATTCTGGTTCCAATTGCCATTTTAACCTGATCCTAACATGTGAACTACATGTATAAAAAGCCACCCGCTATAAGCAACAGGATAGTCCAGAAGGTAAAACAATACATGATGCTACAATGTATAAATTATATAGTTGTTATGCAGCCACTGCCATATTTCTTACATTAAGGAACATCATACCTGGATTAAATATACCATCTCCTCCTTCCCATCCAATATATTCAATCATTTTCTTTAGGACTGCTTCTTCCACTAGCAAAAATACTGGAGAAATTTCATAGGTATATCTGAACGAAGGAGAATGTGACAAGAAACTGTTTTACTTAGTTGAGTTTTATCAAATGTATGAAATTAAAAAGAAAATTAGCAGATAGTATGAGTATATAATTGATTCCTTCCTACTCTGCAATGCAGCCAAGATTTTTATAATAGATTTGAAAGACATCGATGACATAAAATTTTAACTTGAGATATAAATCGCTCTAGTCTGTCTTGATCATTTTAAATGCTAAGTCCTACTACTTCATTTCCCAAGTTCATAATCGAGGTTGGATGTAATTAATGGATTCTCCATCCATGCCCTGTATTTGAAGTATTTCAAATCCTTTGGAATCTAATTCCTGTTAATTTATTATGCTCCATAGAATACTGGTATCATTATATTGACCTTAATATACAATCTGGCCGTGTAAATTTCTCTCACCCCACCATTTAAAATTGTAGACCCAGAGGTCAACAAAATATCTACATATTCCTGATCTGACCAATGTTGCTATATGTTGCAAATAAAATTAATGTGGAACAATTAATACACAGATTCTATTAAATCTAAATTTTGTAGTTTGTAAATTTCATTTACCATCTAGAGCAGACATGTCAAACTCAAGGCCTACAGGCCAGATCTGCCCCATGATGTGGTTAGATCTGGCCTGTGGGGCCATCCTGGAGATATCGAAGGACCAGCTCCAGCCACCTTTGCCCTGGACGGGTCACTCCCCTGGGCACAAGCACAAGAGGCAGCGAGCGCACAGGAGCTTGCATCCCCAGTGAAAAGGAAGCAATCAGAACACCTATGTGGCAAAACGGTCACCCAGGATGCCAGCCACCATGCACTTGCCACCTCACCCAGGGAGAGTACCTGGTTGGGATGAGGTGGACAGGGGCTGAGGTGTCGGGGACAGCCTCTTACTGTCTCTAAGGCAGCCCTACAGCCAGATCTAAGGCTGACTATGTTCCGATCTGGGTGGCTGGCACAAAGTTGATGTAGATCAGTGTGTAGTAGAGCCCCACTAGCAGCGTAGCGCCTGCCACCAGCACCTCCACCACCTCTATGGCCCACTTGCCGATCCAGCCTCCAGTTGGCCCCACAGTCCATAAGCACTCATCTTTCACTGGGATGGCCCCTGCTCTAAGTGGGAAAGCCACGGCTACCAGCAGCATGTGGCCTGGACACGGAGAAAGGGAGAGAGAGAGAGAGGAAAGAAGGAAGAAAGGAGATGGGAATGATAAGGAGACAGGGAAGGAAGAAGGAGGAAGGAAGGAAGGAAGGAAGGAGGCCTCATTATAGTCTTACATGCAAATGGCCCTAAGAGGACAACCATACCCTGACGTGGCCCTCAATGAAATTGAATTTGACACCCTGATCTAGAGGTTCTTATAGCATTCAAGTGAGAGGATACAGACAAAAATAAACTGTGAAAACAGTTTGTGAGAACTGTGATTTTGAATAAAGGACAGTGTGATTACAGTTTCCTAGGAAAACAAAGTTCAGTTCATCTAAGACACCGTTTCTCAATTTTGGCAATTTTAATGTGTAGACTTCAACTTGCTTGATTTCAACCAGCAGTTGAAGTGCATGGTATGTTAACATTGCAAGAGACATGTTGTTCTAAGAACTGTTGAGATACATGTACCCAGATTCACCTTGTCCTATCTCAGTTGAGAAAACGTGTACTTTCTTCTAATTCTTATAAAGAGACAAAGGACTTTTTAATTTGAAGCATCAAAATCCACCACTGGTTCATTGAAAATGTGAGTGTGTGCACATGTGTGCACACAAAGCTTCCACGCAGATGTGTGTGCATGGCTTCTACACAGGCATTTGCGCATGGCTTCTGTGCAGGGATGCACACATGACTTCCATAGAGGCACAAGCGCACGGCTTCCATGCATGTGCTGCTTTTGCCACGCAGCAAGGCTTGATGGAACAGTGTTTCGGGGGCTGCTCTGCTCCATCTCTGCTCTCCACTGCTGCTCTTGCTGGGGGAGCAGATTGAAATTTAGCAGTTGTCGGCCGCCACTTTGTGTCCTCTAAGTGCCATCTGGAAAGCGCTGCAGCACAGAGAAGCAGCAGCCATGTTGAAAGCTGTTTCTCTTAGCTGCAGCACTTTCTAGATGGGACTTAAGAGGACCCAAAGTGGTGACTGACAGCTGCTAAATTACAATCTGTTCTCCTAGCAAGAGCAGCAGTGGAGAGAAGCACCTGCTGATCTGGAGAGCACATGGAGCATCTCCATGAGCGAAGACTCGGTGGCAAGGGATGGAAGAAGCGGTTGCAACTCTGCTGCAATGCTTTCCAGATGGATCTTCTTGAAGATAAGAAGAACCATCTGATCCATTCCCAAATCACTTTGGCCTTTCTGTACCCACACCCCCAGCAACCCTTCGATCTAGCATGGAAGGCTGCAGGCTGAATAAATTGCTTCAGCCCATGGGAGTAGTTTAAGGCCAGAGGGGGCAGCAGCATGCAGGTGGAAGCCCAGGGCAAGGCTGGAGCTGTGGAATGGTGCATTCCCGAACTCAACTGAGGTGAACAGTGAGCGGGTAGTGGCAAGGGCAGAGCCAGGGAATGGTGTGTTCCTCGACCTGGCTGAGGCAAATGGTGAGTGGGTGGCATGCATTGCTTACCTTTGGTGAGCAGAGGAGGCGAGGCACAGAGATTAGCTGGGCCACATGGTGAAGGCAAGATCAGGTCAGGGTAGAGTGGGCAGGACTGGGCAGGTTGGGTGGGGCCAGCCAGTGGTTTAATTGGTTCTATGAGAGAGTGCTTTGCACAGGAGCAGAACAGTAATCAAAGACCTCTCTCGGTGTCAGCACTGGTCGAGTGAGCTATTTTTAGCTCAGCTAAGGCACAGCAATCTGCTCTGCTACGTGAATCAGCTGAGCTAAAAAACAAGGGTTTTTAACCTTATTTAGGGCAGGAAAGGGCAAGAGTGTGGGCAGGTGGCCGGGGCCAGTCAGAGATAGTCTTTGCCGGTTTTCCGAACTACTCAAAATTTTTGCTACCAGTACACCCAAATCGGTCCAAACCAGCTGAATACCATCTCTGGGCATATGGACACAATGCACCCTCATATAGTCACTGACTCATTTTTCAACCACTTGCAGTTACAACAGTAACTTTGAAAAAGTAACTTTGTGACCAAGTCTTACATTTACAACTTTCACTGGTCTGTAAATAAGGAAAACTGAACTAAAATAATAAGCATAAGCATCATGGTTTCACTTAGCTACCAATTTGTATAATGATATTGCTGGTCCAAATATCGTCACTAAAAGGTCACTTGTATTTAACTGCTCTGTTAACAAATGATTTCTGGTCAAATAGAGTGCTTCATACAGTTATGAAAAGATAAACTCAGGAAAGATGAGAGAGAAAAATATTTAGAGAACATTTAATCTTTTAAAGGAAAGAAGAAAAATAAGAACTAAAAATGAACCAATTAAAAAGAACACTTCTAATTAATAGATTCAAAGAATCCTTTATAATTTTAATGTAGGCTCTCTAGGGAGTTAATAGACCAATCCACTCAATATCTGCAATATGCACCCCATCAATGTTATTAATAGAAATTTAAAGGAAATAGAATCTGCCATGATTCTGCACTGCAAATTCAACAAAATACACTTACACACTTGGGTTTAATGCCTCCATAATGAAACGTGCTGCTAAAGAATAATAATCAATACCAGCATAGAGCTGATTAAAAAATCTTGGGTGATCTGTAAATAATGATGACAAAGATATATATCTGATTAGCACTAGTGATCATTGAAAAAGATAATGTAATCCAATTCACACATATTGCCAAGGTGCAGCTGCAGAGCTCATCCATAAACATACAATAAAAAAATGTAGTGGTTTAGAGATGATTCATGAACCCAACTCAGAACTTCTTCATTATAATAGGTGTTTGCAGTCAGATTTTTCTTATACAATGTAAACCTTTTTGTTAGCAAAGGAGAGAAAGGAAAACAGTGAAAGGCACAGAGAAACTTGAACGTGAGAGTGAATCCTCTGTATCTACTCCAATTTGAGTTTCCTTTTCTTAAAGGGATGTTCTAAGATATTTATTTCCTAGTTTTATTATTTTCAACTTTGTATTTGATAATCCAAAAAAAATTAGTTGAGAAGATTTTAATTATGTATCTGGAAGAATGGAGCTTAAGTTACCTATTTAAAATGTTCAGTTTTAATTAATTTTATTTATTTTAATAGTGTCAGCCCTTTCAGAAATATATTAAGAGATGTATAAATGGTCCATCATTTAACAAACAATATCACAAAAGATTTGAATTTGACTTTCCTATAATTCCTATTTTATGTATTTTTCAATACATTTAGAGATTAAGCAATTAGAATAGGTTATTTTACACAGAGATAGCTTAAGGCTTTACATAATAGATAAAATGGCATCAGAAAACTATCTTAAAGCTATATATAATTGTTCAGATAAAAAAACAGCATGAATCAGACCCCAGACTTCCTATTTTGATTCATCTCAACAAAAATACAGTATAAATTTAGAAATGTTACCTCTGAATCTTTCATCAATTAATGAATAGTGTAATGGGTACTTTGGCTGGACATTATTTTTCAATAACAAAGTAAACTTGTTTAAAGTTTACTTAAAGATATGTTAAGCTAAGTGATAAAGGAATTATTGGTCAATGTTCTTATAAAAGTGACCTCTAAACAGCTATATAATTAAGTGCTCCTTTTATATAAATGTTGATTAAATAATATTCTTTAGCAGTCTTATTATATTCAGAAAATTGCTGTGAATTCTCATTAGCTAGCGTTCCAGAAAAGTACTTAACCTTTTGATCACTCCCATTATTTACAAAAATAAACATTGTTTTGAAGATAATACTTTGATTCTTGTTTAATGGGTTGCTAATCTTAGGTATTAAAATCTCCTCTTGGCCTCAGACTGTAACTCTTGATCAGTGGTTCCCAAACCTTTTCAGTCCACCACCACCTTGGTGCTACAAACTCATCCTCGGTGCCCCCCACCCAGGGGTAGTATTCAAATTTCTGTGGGCATGGCCTAATTTGAGGGTGTGGCTTGCTGGTCACGTGACTGGGTGGATGCGGTTTGGTCATGTGTCTGGGTGGGTGTGGCTTGCTGGTCATGTGATTGGGTAGATGTGGTTTGGTGGGTCATGTGACTGGGTAGGCGTGGCCTGGCAAACCAAATCTAAGTAGTCCTCACTTAATGGCCAGTTGTTCAGCAAGTGTTCTAATTTATGACTGGTGTCCCCAGAGCTACTTGACCTGTTTTTGGAGTTTTGACAGCCATGCACACACATAGACACACACTCCCTTCCAACCCTGCTGGAGCAGGCCATTGTACTAGAATCGGCAAAGCATCTCTGATTAGATTCTAGTAGTGCAGGGTGTGTTCGAGGCACTGGCCCCACAGGCTGCACTGGAATGGTGCAAGGGGCTCAATGGGGTGAACTTGCAGAGCTGGCGCATCAAACGCAGCCACAGCGGCACATAAGATTCCACTGCTGCCGCATTCGAGGCATTGGCTACGGAGCAGTGCAACAGTCAATGGGGTGAGCCTGACGGGCCGGCGCCTTGAACGCCCCACTTGCCTCTTAGTGCCCCTTAAGGCATCCCACCCCCCCAGGGGGCGGTATCGCCCACTTTGGGAATTACTGCTTTAGATGCTTACAGGTTCTGACAACTAAAACACAGCTTATTGAATATGGCACCAATGCCTCATACCCAACTACTGGACTAAGAGAGAGGCTTGTGGATTACAAATCTCAGTGTCTGAGTTTCCCCTAAGATATTAAGCCCAAATCAAACAAACATGGAAAGAATTTGAATATTGTCTGTATGGGCTGATCAATAACTGCAATCAGAAATTTAAGAGGCTAATTGAAAAAAATCTCTATTCTGTGAACATTTTATATTGTATAGATCCCCAATGCATTTCAAATTATATCCATATTTACTGTATAAATATAAAGCATAAAAAGGGAGATAGTCTAGTATACTTAAAATTAGCAGGAATACTAAAAAGTATACTTGTTATCCAATGATTTCAAAATCTTTCTATCACATTACATCTTTGATCTGTCTCTGCTAACATGTCTGCAACTAGGTTCCAGGCCCCTTTTCTTCTTGCTTCCCAAATTCTATATTTAGAATTTCCAACCCTGTTTACATTTTTGCACATATATATTTCAATGACCTTGGATATATTTGTTGTTCCTATGAATTGTTTAGGATTAAGTAAAATAAACAGGTTGGAAACAATTTTAAATAAAACAAATCATAGGTAGACACTAAACTCAATTTAAAAAACTAATAAAAATGTACTCACATAGCTATTCAACAGAGCTTGAAGATAAGCAGTAAAATGTTTTGTTGCAAATGCCACTGTATGTTCCAAATTGTCTTCTTCAATTACCACAGTCAATTCATTCCACTCCCAGGGAAGCATTCACACTTTGTCACAATTATGCCTAGATTTCCATACTATGTTTAAAAAGTTCACTTATGATACACTAGTTTTATTTATTAAATTTTGTTATTCATTTGCAAGTGACTTTTATCAATTTTCAACATGCTTTGAATCACCATTATCACCAACCACTATTTTTTTCAGAGTAACTCATTACAGTAGGACTTCCATTCATGCAATGAGTAATGTTTTATATTATTGTAATAGATGCAGGAGAGACAGAAAATCTATCAGCAATCACCATGAAGGTGGAATAATTTTAGACCAGCTCAGTGGTCCATTTTAGATGTAAACTCCAAGTATTTATGAAACCATGAAGGAGTGTTTAGATTTTATTTTATCCTTCTTTCTCTTTCAACACAAAAATTTCAACATGAAGATTTCATTTTATTTAAAATGAGTATTGTCACATCTGAAATAAGATTCTGATTTAACAGTAACCAGGATGTTAAATGAGAACTGAAAAAAAAAGAATGATCTACATTGTATAGATGAAATTATGAAAATACTGAAGTAGTCTTTTATGTAGACATACCACTCCTTTTCATGTCAACTTCTGCATTTGGCTAGAAAAGCCAAATTGCTACATTTTTCTAAATAAATAAAAGCAAGAGCAGTCTTGCTGTGCAATTGGAAGGATAAAAAGCAATTGGAAATATTAAATTCATACAGGTTTTGACGCTGAATTGTATAACATCCTGGCATAACTGCAAGAGTTTGGGATGATTCTCTCCAGTGTCTTTCAATTCCAAGTCAAGAAGTGTTCTCAGTTTCTCAGGAGATTGCCATTCACACACCTGCATGAAGTCATTGGAAAGAAATGTTGATCAGAGAATTTAAAAGTTAATCAGAGTGTGCCCTAAATAATTTTTAAAATCCTCTTGTAAATTTATTTTTAAAAAAACATCTGGTTTACTTATTTAAGTAATCTAGAATTTCAACATATCTGTGAAAATTTTTATAGTTTTTACAAAATGTTTTAGATTCACAAATAATTTAAGCACAAACATGGAAGATCTTAAGTTCTTCTACTACTAAATCCAAGAAATTAAGAAGTAAAAGCATGATATATAAACATTTCTGGTTATTAAAAATTCAGTACATTTAATTATGAGTATTATATCAGAAGTATTTTAACATTTATCAGTAGCAATGTATTTATATACATATTTCTGAATATGATTACTGAGTTAATAATTTGCTTTCTTTATTTAGATCAGTGTTTCTCAACTTGAGCAACTTTAAGAAGTCTGGACTCTGGCCAGAGAATTCTGGAAGTTGAAGTTCAGATCTCTTAAATTTGCTCAGGTTGAAAAACATAGATTTAGTTAATTAGTTTCAATTATATCATGTACTTAGAAGATATTACTCCAATTATATTTAAAAAAATTACCTTTTCAGTTGCATCAGATGCTTTCTTTATCACTTCTTCCATTATCATCTTACTGACCTCTTCCACAAATTTCTCGCCTGATTTTGAATCTGCTACTGGGCCATTTAAAATAACTCCATCAACTAAGATTGAATTTTTCTTCTGTGATTTTTCCTTCTGATTATTCATTTCAGCTGATGAAGATAAAACAAAAGCAACACATAATTATCTATGTTTCCCGTTTCCTATTGTTTTCTCCCAAGCAACATGTTCAGGTTGAATAGATATGTTCTAGATACCCTCAACTGAACATGGTAATCTTGTGGGACTGAAGAAACATGCCTCCTCTACTATAATGTAGTCCTCAACTTACAGCAGTTCATTTAGTGACCGTTCAAAGTTACAACACTGAAAAAAGTGACTTAAAACCGATTTTCACACTTGTGACTGTTGCAGCATGCCCTGGTCAAGTGATCAAAATTCAAATGTTTGGCAAATGACCCATATTTATGACAATTGCAGTGTCCCAGAGTCATGTCATCACTTTCGTATCCTTCTAACAAGCAAAATCAACGGGGAAGCCAGATTCAGTTAATAAACATATTATTAACTTAACAACTGCAATGATTCATTTAACAAATGTAGCAAGAAAAATCATAAAATGGAGAAAATTCCCTCAACAAATTTTGGACTCAATTGTGTCATAAGTCGAGGACTACCTGTAGCCCTGCCCTCTAGAAGAGCTTCTCCCCAAGAGATACAGATAATCTTCACTTTCCTAACTTTATCCTGAGATCGAAGAGTAGTATCTTTGTAGAACTACTGTAATGTTCTTTTGATTGCTATGACTGTTTTCTTGTCTGGGCTGTTTTGTTATGTTTTTGACTGTTTCAGCTGTACATATGGTATGCTATAAGTATCCAAAATGTTTTGGAGCGGCCTCTATGAAAAAGCTGAAGTGCTCTGCGACTTTAGAATTTAAATAGACAAGTACTTACCACATAATACTTCAGACTTAACAACTGATGACAAGAAAGACAAAAAAGTCTAGATAATGGACATTGTGGTATCTGGAGACCACAGAATAGAAAACTGGAGAAAATCACAAAATACAAAGACCTGAAAATAGATATAGGACAACTATGGCAAAAGAAAGCAAAGAGAGAAGTTCCCTGAAGATGGATTCCATCACAAGTCCAAAAGTTCAGAAGACAAAACCTTTGGTATCAGTGATCGACCCCAATTGGATCCTGCAACATTATGTTGGGACATTTATATTCACCTTCATTTGTGAAAAAAAGCAAAGATAGTACCAGTAGTAATAGGCAAGAGGTGCAATTCCAAACATCTGGGACACCATTTGAACGTCATCGGCATTGACAAAATCACCATCAGTCAATTGCAAAGGAAGCTTTAGTTGGAACAACCTACATTCTGTGATGATACCTTTCACACATCTGCCTATTCCAGGTTTTTAGAAAGGACTCAAGGTGGACAAAAATGCTAAATCCAGTCCAAATATCTGGCTATGTGACCAACCATAATAATATATTGAATATAAAATTTTAAGAAGTAACTTCATATAACTATGAATACATACAGATAGAGGAGACTTGAAGGACCTAAAGGAGCTCAAAAGAAAAGTGATGCAAAACTCTCTCCAACAACAAACTGGAATCTTACCATAGGAAAAATAATTAACTTATAATGATTTCATTTATTTCGTAGCTGAGCTGGTAATGGAAAAGGATTTTTAATAAATTAGAAAAATTGAAAATAGATATAATTTCTCTCTAAGAGGTACATATTAAAAGACAATATAGTAAAGTATTAAGAGTAACCCAAAATTGGGAAACTGTATTTTTAATTAGCACAACAAAAGAAAAGGGGTGGTGGTTTTATATATTAAAGAAACCATAAAGGCTAAACAAATCTTTGCAGATGAAGATGGGAGAATATTAATGGTGGAGGTAACAATGAACCAAAAACAGATATTGTTAATAGCACCTAATAACAACCAAGATGAGTTTTATGGGAGATTTCGTAAGAAAATTATAGAATTGGAATATGAAATATTTGTAAGGTAGGAGACGTTAATGCAATTATAGATACAGAACTTGACTATAAAAGTAGCAAAACAGGTAAAACTGTTAGAAAATCACTCCCCTAAATCCTTCTTTAAAATGACAGAAGAAATAGGAATTTAAGATATATGGAGAGAAGGCGTTTGCAGACAACTTGGTCTAGAATGATGGTCAACAACCAGTGGGCCATTGCCCACTGGTTGTCCATGAGAAAATTTTGGTGGTCTCTAGAGAAATGTCCCACCCAAAGCAATTAATCCAGGCTGTGCGGAAACACAAGGCTGCACTGCCCACATGGCTTGCCCACCCGCTGGCCGAGAGCAAACCTGAAAAAACAGCTCAGTCCTCGCCAGCCAGGATGTAATGGTGCTGTTGCAGCAAGAGGGGGTTGGCAGCATAGGCGGGCTGAAGTGGCAATGGAGAAGGTGCATGAGCATCATGCTGCTTACATTTGCGTAGCACTCTCCTGGCCTGGGCTCTTCCTCAATGGCCGCAGGCAGGAAAATTACTGGCTGGTGGTGGTGGGAGGGGGCAGAGTGGGCAAGTCTACACTCACCATCCAGTTCAGAGGCCTGGAATGGGGTATCAGCATCAGTTTTCTCATCCTTCTCGATGCTCTGCTCTGCTAAGGGTGGGGTGCAGCGCAACGGCCAGGCACTTATAACCCCTTCCTCTGACCTGGGCTTGATGCTGGGGGTGGATGCCTCCTTGGGAGATGCCCTCACCCTGTGGGGAGAGCCCAGCACACACACGCTCCAGGGAGAGGCTTTGAGGCCTGAAGGGAGGGACCTCTCTACTTAAAAGTGGCAGGAGTAAACTGGAGCTTAGCCTCGGGGGACTCCTCTTGTGTGGAGGCTGAAGGTGTGGGTGTTGCCTGGTTATTAGGAGTATGTCTTCCTCGGTGCACTTTTGGTATGGGCATCCGACCTTCACTGCCAACTTGTTCTGGGACCGATGGAAACTCCGGGTTGGGTTGAGCTGAGCGCCTTGGAAGCCCCATAGTTTGCCTCATCACTGTTGGTGCAGGTGAGAGCTTGATTTTCTGGGCTCAACACACCCCCCTTCGGCCTCCACACTGAGGATGGCCCCAGCCATTGCTGCCCGGGGAAGGCACAGGGAAAGAAAGTGAGCAGAAACAGCTCTCGTTGAGGTGAAAGAGCTGAGATCGAGGAAGGCACAGGCAACAGAAGACACAAGCTGCCGCCTTTGAAAAACGCCACTTTCTGTTTCTGCTCACTTTCTTTTCTTGTGCCTCCCCCAGGCAGCGATGACTGGGATGGATGGTGGGGGGGCAGCAGAGAAGTCACAGCTGCTCCCCCCATTCAGCAAGCTGGGTCTGGAGGAAAGTGGAGAGTTGCAGGCAAGTGCAAGAGTGTCAGAAGACACAATCCGACATCTCTTGGGAAGTCCTTTTGTGTGGGATGAAAGGGATGAGAAAACTAACACCAACTCTGCCCCATTCTGGGCCTCTGAACTAGAGGGTGAGCACAGGCCCACTCCTCCCCTTCCCACCACCAGCTGGTACTTTTCCTGCCCTGTGTGGTCCCTACAGTCCGCAGCCATCGAGGAAGAGCCCAGGCCAGGAGAGGTGAGCTGGAAGGTGCGGGAGTGCCACACAAATGCAAGTAGCACGGTGCTCCTACACCTTCTGGCCATCTTCATTGCTGCTTCAGCCCACCTGTGCTGCCAGCCCCCTCTTGCTGCAACAGTACCATTACCTCATCCTGGTCAGTGAGGGCTGCGCTGCTTTTTGCATGTTGCACCATCCACAAATTTGCACATTACAGGTGCCAGCTCCTATGGCAGAGATTTGCAACCCCAACATGGGCCAGTCCCATATTCCAGAGCTGCAGTAGTCACAAGACTGGCCCTTTGGTCATCCCAGAGCAGCTCATCCATGACAGGCCAGTCCTGTGACGACTGCAGCTCTGGAATATGGGACCAACTTTCCCACCAACGTCAGCAATCCACTGTCAGGCAAAATTCATACTAGTGATCCGCAGGATTGAAATTATGAGTTTGGTGGTCCCTGAGGTCAAAAGGTTGGTGACCCCTGGTCTAGAAGACCCATTAGAAACTGGACTGAAGTTAATTAAAAAGATAGAAGAGTATGGGTAAGTTGCTGAATTGAAAATAAACAAAGACATGACAAAGATTTTAGTTAAAAATCTCACAGATACACAAAAAAGTGTTGATGGAAAGAACTGATATGCAGATAGTCAAAAATGTTATTTGCAGCTAGAATTGTATATGCTGAACAATGGACGTGGGATGAGATCCCGAACAGATGAGAATGTAATTAAGAAAATATTAGAATGTGCAGAATGGGTAGACTTGCCTTTGTTATCTTGGAAGCCATTTTTCTTTGAGACTCCTGGGCTGCCACACTCAGTGCCTGGGAATTTAGGAGGGTGACTTAAAGGAGCAGTGGAAGATTAGCCACAATAACATTCCTTTCTCAGAAAGTCAAGGACATGTTACCCTGCATTTGGAGGGGAGTGACTGGGGATAGTCTCCAGTTGGAACAAAGTAGCAATTGGACCATGTGATGGACTATTGGATGTGGGGTTGGATTTTGGGTTTCCTTTGGGCTAGGGAAAACCCAGAACTTTCCAATTCGGGTTTCCCCCCAATATGCCAATATGACATCTCTAATAAAATGGATCTTTGGGAAGATTATATTTTTATTTATTTTATTTATTTGTTTGCCAAACATGTACAAGATAACAAGTATACGAACAGGTATGAACATAAATATGAACCAAGGAAGTAAATACAGATAAATGGGAACAGTAAGACAGGGACGGTAGGCATGCTGGTGCACTTATGCATGTCCCTTTTCAGTACCTTTGAAGAATGGGTGAAATCCACAGTAGACAGTTTGAGGTTGAAGCTATGAGGGGTTGAGGCAGTAACAATGAAGTCATGTAGAGCATTCCAGGCATTGACAACCCTGTTGCTAAAGTCATATTTTCTGCAATCGAGTTTACCTTGACTTTGTATCAGTTGTTTGCCCGTGTATTATTGTGGTCGAAGCTGAAGAAGTCATTGACAGGCAAGATGTTGTAGGAGACAATTTTGTGTACTATGCTTAGATTGGACCACAGGCGGGGCAGTTCTAGATTCTCCAAGCCTAAAATTGAAGTGGAGTACTTTTCTCGAGAAATACCTCTGAACCCATTCAATTGTGTTAATGTCCAATATACAGTGTAGGTTCCAGGTGGATGAGCTGTATTCAAGAATTGGTCTGACAAAGGTTTTGTATGCTCTAGTTAGCAATTCAATCTTACCGGAGAAGAGGCTTCGCAAAATAAGGTTAATAATTCTTAATGCCTTTTTGGCAATGCTGTTACAGTGAGCTCTGGGGCTTAGATCATTTTAGATGAGTACTCCTAGGTCCTTGACAGAGTGTGGGTCACCTACAAGATAGTTTCTGCCCAACTTGTATTTGGTGTTCTGACTTTTATTGCCAATGTGTAGGGCAGAACATTTATTAGTTGAAATTACACAACCATTCTGACACATAGTCAAGGTTGTTTTGTAGGCAGCAGTATTGTCAGTGGTGTTAAATAATTTTATGTCATTGGTGAAGAGGACACAGCTGCTTTTAATATGATCGCATAGGTCATTGATGTAAAGCAGAAAGAGTGTGGGTCCTAAAATGCTGCCTTGGGGGACACTAGAGTTAACTGGTGCCGGATTTGATACAGTCCTCCCTATTTTGACTATTTGTTGCTTGTTTGACAGGAACGCAGCTATCCACTTGTGCAGGGATCCTAGTCTTGGAGTCTTTTTCTTTGGAGGTTGACATGCTTACTATTAAGGACAAAGAAGTAACTAAATATTTTTTTGATATGGAACTCATTTTATCAATGGTTAGACAATAAAAACAGAAGTTAGAAAGAAAGGGATATAAAAAGGATAAATGTTAAAATGGGAAATTGTTAAAATGGACAAACAAAATATTATTACAGTATTAATGTTATTGTGATGCACGATATTGTAAACACCTTGATTATGATTGCCTAAAAATAATTGTACCCAGACAACACACTGTTTGATTGGAATATATATATATATATATATATATACATCACTCTGAGAAGCACAGAGCCGGAGACAGAAGCCTGAAGATGATGAATGAGACTTCATCGAAACGTTGCCTAGATACTTCGAATCTTACGCGGGAGAAAACCCGAACAACCAAAGATAGATAGATAGATAGATAGATAGATAGATAGATAATAAAACTTGAAAATAAAAAAGAATAGATCATCTATTTGCAAATTATTAGACTCCACTACTACTTTTGGGTGACCTTCACTGATGAAAACAGAATTTAATTACTTCCCCTTGAAAGTAGAATAGGCTTTTTATTTAACAAAAGAAAAGCAACAAAAAAATATTTGACATCCCAGAAAGGAAGAAATAAAAAAGTCATTACCTGAAATTCTATCAAAACCACAAGACCTGATAATGGAGGGCAACTATTTCAACAATTCTAAAAACACAAGAAAAAAAGGGTGGTTATTAAAAGGATTATTATTAAATCTCCCATCTAGGAAATGAGATGGCAGAACTTCAAAATGTGTTGCAGAAAATGTGTTCCCGTTTTTGGGCATAGTTAAAATATGATGGTAGCACATTGCTTCCCAGCTGAGATTCAGCCTCTACATTTTCAAATGTTAGGGTAAACAACTACCAATTATTTTATATTTTAAATTACATTTTTTACTTTCTCTGAACATCTAGAAGAGGAAAACCTATTTGAAAATTGGAATGCCAATAAAATATACTGATATGTCTTACCAGCTTTGTAATTAAAGCTTTTTGAGTAAGTATTCAAGGGCCATATATTTTTAAAAAGCAAAATATAGTTAGTAACAGAAGATGATTTTTTAAAAAAAATTCCTGGTGTTAATATTTTTGTCTTTAATGTGTTATTTTTTTCTAACCTGCATTAAAAATCCCACATCTCCCCCCCCCCAAAAAAAATAAAAAAATAAAATAAAATCCAGATATCTAGCTTATGAAGTTTGGTTTTGTAACTATTCTTTGCAGAATTTTTTTAAATAATTATTTTTAAAATAAGTGAAACTTACCCAAAGCTGAATCAGAAATTAAATTAACTTGCCTTATATAATAAATTTAGAAGGCTACCCAGCTTCATAACAATTCTGTTTGATATACATGATAAAAGCATTACCAAAAAGGGGGGAGTTATGAGTAAAATATTAACAGGCATGTAAAAGAAGTAAGGGCACAGGGATGGAATTACTCAGGAGACTACTAATTTGAATATGTCAAGCACTTAATTTTAAAAATGTATACTTTTATATTTTAAACATAAAATGTTTATGGCATGATATGGAAAACAGTCATGCTTCAAAAGAGGTATCCATGAACATACTAGTATGTACAAGCATCATATGGATGACACCAGCAGTTTTATTCCAAATTCTGAAAATTCTTTTGCTATCTGAATTAAACTACACAGATTAAATCTAATCTTCTGTTCTTCTGTATATGGACTATATATTTTATATGTTGGAAGTGTAGAAAGAAAATGCAGCTAGCCCCACAAAAGCCTCCTTCTGTACACCCCCAAAAACCTTAAGAAACAGAGAAGCCAAGAAAACAAACACACACAAAAAGAACACCATTTCCTTTTTTTCTCTTTTCTTCCCCTAATAGAAAGAGAAACAATATTGCAATCATGGGGTTAAGGAACCTCATTCATTGAGAAAAGTGGAAACAACACTGGTCCATTAAGAAAGACAGGCCAGAAGCAATACATACCATAACAGGATAAAATCAATTACACATGCCTGACAGCAGTGGTGGGATTCAGCCGGTTCTCACCAGTTCAGGTTGTTAATTTTCTGAGCATTTTAGAGAACCAGCTGTTGGAAGAAATCTCCTTTCAACAGCCTTTTGTTAGGAAGGAGCCATTCTAGTCTGTTTCTGAGTAATGTTTCTAGCCCAATCCTGCTTATCTTTATTACTTAAGTGTTTTCAGAAACTGCCTTTGCAGTTACAACCATTGCATTATAACACCCATTAATGGTTCTTGGCAGTACACCCAGACTTTCCGTAGCCAGAGCTGATTCTCTGCAGTTGTTTTTTTCCTTTTATTCTGCGGCTTGACTTTTTTTTTTAAAGGGGGAGGGTTTTTTAAAGCTTTTTACACTGATTTCATGGTTCCTGGCACTATCCTTTTGGTGTATACTTCCAACATGGCAGAATCCCCTTCCAAGTGACAACAATGCTGAAGCCACTCCTTACCTCCTCCATCCTCAATTAAGGATGGGAAGGGGCAATCCCACAACTTCTGTAGGCAAGTTGTTCCACTGATTAATTGTTCTGTCAGAAAATTTCTCCTTAGTTCTAAGTTGTTTTCCTTCTTGATAAGTTTCCACCCATTGTTTCTTCTCCTACCCTTGGGTACTTTGGAAAATAGCTTGACTCTCTCTTCTTTGTGGCAACCCTTGCTAAAGGGTTTCACTTTATGACCAAGAATTGGCTGCTGATGGTTATCATTGCATTTTAACTATTTTAATTCCTCAAGGTGCTCTGGCACCCAGTCTGATTTGTAACTCTGGGTTGCAGGTATTGCTGATGAAAAGGAAAGTATTCAGACAGAATGATTTAATTTTCCATGACAACTGTGACACATTGATCTTCAGTGTGTATTCCCCCATTTTTAATCTAATGATTGGTATTTAAGGCAGCTTTTTGCAAGCAAAGGAGCTTTTTTGTTAAGGCATTGAGATTTAAGAGCTGATGCAATATAAGGCTGATGCAATATAAGGCTGATGCAATGTAAGGCTGATGTAATGACGATGATTTCTTGGAGGGCTGGGTCAGCATTGTAGTTGTCCTCTGCAGACCAGATGTGGGGGGGGAGGAGGATACATAGTCTTCTGCAGCACCCTGCCGGCCAAAATAGGGGGGCTGCAGAACGCCCCCTACTTCCATTTTCAGCCTGGATGGCCTCCTGCAGCACCCAGCCAGCCAAAACAGGCCACCCTAACCCCTGTGCTCTGTTTTGGCCAGGAGAGTGCTACAGAAGTCTGTTCAGACAAAAACGGGACACAGGGCCCTCCTTGGCCCCCCTATGCTGTTTTTGCTAGCAGAGGCATCGCAGCTGGAGTTGTGGTCCACTGGTGGCCTGCAGAGCTGGACAGTGGGGAGGACTCAGATGAGGGATCTGCATCTGACTCTCAGGGCCATCTGAGAGTTATGTGCTGACTCCAGAGCCTCCAGAATCTGACATCAATGAGGCAGAGGAACAGGGGTAGCCTTAGACTGTCTACTATTGACCTCACTCCCTTCCTAAGAGCCCCATAGGGGGCATGCATAAGCACACTAATCGTGCCTACTGTCCCTGTCCTATTGTTTTTTTTTATTTTTCTTATAAGTATCCATCTCATGTATTCAAAACTATATTTTTTCTTATACCTGTATCTTGTAAGCGATTGACAAATCAAATAAATACTAAAAAATACAAAATAGAGCTGTCAGAAGGCAAAAACAGTTAAGACCAAAGGAGCGACTCAGTAGTAAGGCTTGGAGATGATTGGCCCCTCCCATAAGACATACAGGAGGAGCAAAGGGACATGAGCCTTTGCAGGAAGAAACTTTGTTCTGGTGAGTAAAATCTGAAGCTCTCTGTTGACTTTGACATTTGGCCTTGTACAGCTAATTGGCAAATAGTTGTTGGCAGCATTTCAAGGGAGATAATGGTGAGTGCTTATCAGCCTTATCCCAAAAGATTGTGGCAGACTTCTGTTGGACTATTCATAAACGGTTTGGGACTCATTACGGGCTATGAATGCATATAATTCACAGCTGTTGAAATAAAAACAAGGTTTTGGGGAACAGTGTTTGATTGTTACTGTTTCAGGAAGCCTTAATCAGAACAGACTGATCCTTTGCTATTTCCAGGCTGGTACCAGAAGCCGGATCTAAGCACCCGGCTGGCCAGATCTGACCTGTGGGCCTTGAGTTTGGCACCCCTGATCTAGCATGTTGCAACAATGCCAATAGAATGAATATGAATGGCAAAAGTGGGGGCATTTTTAAAGCAGGAAGAATGATGTCAAGAGGGCAAAGATATATCACATTTAAGATCTGAAACAATATTTTTAACTTTAGTAAAAAGAAAATATAATTTTTAAAAATTGTGCTATGCTTATTTAAGGGACTGTATTACAATTTTCATTTTCATTAGAAAATGTCAGGGAAATGATTCTATTGACATCTTTGGCAGCTTTGGTTGATGAAAACTCTGGGAGCCATGAAAACAAGAGTGTTAGCTGATGGCAAAAACATAGGAAAAATCTGAATAACAATGTATGAATTTGTATGTAAGATTATATTCCTTTTTTTATAACAGCATCAAGGACTGTAGTTGTTGCAATATCATGACACATCAGTAGGAAGTCACGTACACAGAAAACCCAATACACATACAATACACATATAGGGCGACACTATTGGAACAGCAACGTGTAAAACGTGAGTTGGCTATAGCATAAGGTGTAGCCATATATGGCAATATTCCCTATTCCTGCCTAACTTCCTCATGTGTAACATAACCTCCCCCCTGCTTGCTGCACAATAAAAGAGAGGTGCGTAGTACTATCTGTGCTTCCTCTCACCAAAAGAAACCTTTGTGTCGCTGCCATCTTTGCCACTAAGAGGAGCCCGGACAGTCTGCCTGGGTGCAGGTCATCAGCTGACTAATTCATTCCGGCAGTGGGACCCGCAACGCATCAACTGGTGACCCCGACGTGATCGTCTCAAAGATACGTCCCCGACAAAGCGTGATTCTTGTCTAGGAATGCGCTTCCTTCACTCCTGTACTACGCACCTGGAATAGGCTCGCGCATCGTAAGTATGGGCTCCTCACTTTCTCAAGTTCAACTCAAGCATAGGGATGAACTTCTCGCTTTAGTGAAGAAGGCAAATTATTTGCAGAAGGCTAACGGCACAAATGTATATCCTCTGTCAAAAAAGTATTTGGATGATTTTTTTTAGTTATGTCCAACAACTCTGCCCCACGTATCCCGCGGAAGGCACTCTTAAACGTTCCTCTTGGGAACGGATGGGTAAATGGATGCATGAACCACCCAGGGCTCCGCCTCAGATGATTTGTTCTTGGCGTGCCATTATGGCCGCCCTTAATATTTTCTTTCCTGATGATTCTATCCAGTCTTCCTCAGACCCACCTTCCGCTGAACTCTGTCCTGTTACTGCCTCGGCACCTCCACCCTACTCCACCCCACCCCTTGACTCTTCTCCGAACCCCTCTTCTCCGTTGCCTCCTTCCGCCATGGCAACAGATCCTCCTGTCCGTAATGCCTTTCAATCGTCTTTGGCGGAAGGAAAGCTATCTGCAGATGATCTTTCTTGTTTCCCTATGATTCTTCAAACCTCCGCTGCTGGGGGTAATCCTGTCCCTCATTATACCCCATTGGAGTGGACTTTGTTAAAGGAATTAAAAACTGCTGCTTCTAAGTATGGCATCGACTCCCTGTATACCCGCCAACTTTTAGCCAACATTTCTACGCATCATCTGGTTCTTGCTTCAGAGTGGAAAGCTATTGCTTCTATGCTTCTCTCTCCTGCTTCGCTTGCCACCTGGCACAATGAATTTCGCCTCGGTATTAACGCTGCTGCTGCAGCCGGACTACCAGCAGGAGTTACTCTTGATAATCTCTTATGCCAAGGTACGGTGCAAAACCCCGCGCAAGAGATCACTATGGGAGCGGAGGGGGACCCAATTATGAGGGAAGCTGCGCTAAACGCCTTCAAGCGGCTCCCTAACACCTCTCAACCTACCCACTCCTTTACTTCTATCCTTCAAGGGCCCTCTGAACCCTATACCTCCTTTATTGATCGTCTCACAGATGCCATTAGCAGGCAGGTGGATAATATTGCCGCTCAGAGCGAACTTCTCATGCGTTTAGCCGTTGCTAATGCTAATGTGGACTGTCAGAAAATTCTCAAGCCCCTTCAAGCCTTGCCAACTCAAAATCTTGCGGATTATATTCACGCGTGCCAGGAAGTAGGCACGGAATCTCACCGCACTGCGGCTTTAGCTTCAGTTCTTTCTTCTACTCTTGCTTTGTCCACCTCTCGCCTAAAGGGAAATTGTTATAATTGCGGGAAGCCTGGCCATTTTCATTCACAGTGTTGTGCTCCGGGTGGCGGCAGCGCCCCGCGTGGGCGTGGCCAGCCCCCCGGTTCTAAACCAAAAACTGTGTGCCCGCGCTGCCGCAATGGTTTCCATTGGGCCAGCCAGTGCCGCACCAATCCCCGCCCGGCTCAGCAACAGCCGGAAAACTAGTTTCGGGGCCAACAGCTAGCCCCACTCCAAAGGCTGTACCTACTTCCTTGCCAGTTCTTCTATCCGAATCCATTGTCTATGAGGATCCTGGATCTGTCGTCACCCTTCCTCTGACAGTAGCATTTCCTGTCCCTTCACAGCACCCTTTGCTGATTATTCCTAACTCCACCCTGACTATTGAAGGAGTGGTGGCAGCCCCGTTCCTTTATGATGATCAATCTTTAGCGAATCTTTCCCTGGCCTGCATAGGGGACCGCCCCTTCTCAATGGTCAAGGGTTCTATTGTTGCCACCCTTGTCATTCTTCCTCCCCCTTCTGATTTGTTAGCTTTGGATCGCCCAGTGGAAGGAAATAAGCCCATGATGACCGTCCAATTAAATGGTCGTCTCTTTACAGGGTTGGTTGATACA